AAAACTATGTGTTTAGTAGGGATGCTAATTTATGCGGAAAATTGTGATCCCGGCATTTGATATTGAGACATAACTTTTATAAATATGAGTAAAAACTTAATAGCTGCAAGCATTTAAATATTAAATGAAATAAAACTATTTAAAATTTACGATAAATTGATTTGAAAAATCACATGGTTATTAATACAGACAAATCTTGAACTAATAATTTGTTTAAATTGTATTTTAGCTGTCCAAATAAAGGAGTTTTTACAGTAAAACCCCCTGTCTGAACAATCAGTTGTATGGAGGCAATAAATAGGTTATAGTGATCCGATCTTTCCCATTTTTACTGCCAACTTTCTTTTGATAATGAGTGATAACTGTGCAAAATTTCATGTTCCTAGCTGCATAAATGGAGAAGTTATAACGAAAAATCTCATATCTGAACAATCAGTTGTATGGGAGCTATATTTTATAGTGGTCCGATTCTTCCGGTTCCGACAAATGATTAAAACATTATAAAAATACGCCCGCCTACCAAATTGCATCCGGATATATCGAAAACTGTGGGACTAGATTGCATACAAACAGACGGACAAACGGACAGACGGACATGGCTAAATCGACTCAGCTCGACGTTCTGATCATTTTTTTAAGTATACATTTTAATGGGTCGTACTCTTCTTATTCTGGTACTTACAAACATCGGACCAAAGTTATAATACACCGGCACACAAAACAAAAAAGTGGTACGTTTAGTCAGACCCACCAGCCGACATGTATTTCGGTACCCGCTGAAACCGAGTCTGACCCCGACTGACTCGTACATCCTCCATCGAGTAAAATACGAAGAAAGGCAAAAAATCGCCAAAGCATTCAAAGCGGAGTCTTCTAGTCTTGACCTGAATTTGCTGAACATACAAAACTTGCTGATGAAAAACATCTTTCGGCCTGAATACTTTTCGACTAAACTGTCAAAAGGTAGTCATAAGCCATTTGAAGATAATGACCCCAATCTCCTTTATTACAAATTATTTGCACTTCTTTTACCAGCACGTCAGTTAAATTAAAATTTTTTCAATTTGAGGAAGTTTCCTCAATAAAATGGTTGAATAAACTTTCTGTTTCGCTTACATTAGCGACGCTATGAGTACATTCATGTATATCTTCTTCAAAACGAGACCCAGGCTGTAATTTTAAAATTATAGTTTCAAAGCCTTTTGTGAATTGTAGTCAAAACGGCATTTTACAAAAATCACACTTCAAAAGTCATAAACAACTTCTTATTATCAATTCGATAATTCGAAAATTTTTCGGGACCCCGGCATTAATACAAGCAAATCCCCGGATTGGCATCCCTGGTGTTTAATGAATTAAAAATGCATGTTGGCATTAATTAACTGCAGCAGTTATCGCCTAATTTCGAATAACTTATAAACAATTTAAGTTTTTTTTTTTAATTATCGAAATGCCCCAACGCCTGAAACTGTGCTTCAAAAAGGCATGCTCAGCATAAATATATGCATGTGTGCGCACGTACATCTGTATGTGTGTGTGAGTGGGCAATTTTGACAAATTAATGGCAAATGCTTGGACAAAAGTTCATTTGCATTTTCACATAATTACATTTAGCATTGGATTTGTAGCCAATTTAGAGCAAATTTGCGGTAATCACGTGACTAGTCGGCATATGTATTTACATACATATACATACATACATACATATGTTGCATGCGTTAAGTGGGCGTTATTCAAGTGTATGATTTTCGATTTGAGCTAATTTATTGATGCAGTTGAACGCAGATGCACGAATGCGTGATAATTAGGAGCTTCAGTTTCGATAAGCTTTGAATTTTCATTGAAATTTAAACTACATTTACCAAAATTATGAACTCTATACTTTATTACATAAAATATTGATTGTATAAACTCAAATTACATGACTGCAAAAACAATGAATGTTCGTCTTAATGAATTTGTTTGTGGAGCCACAACTGTGTCCCACTGGGAAAATAGGTAAGCACCTTACGAGGTAAGCCATGTTTTCTTTCAGTTTTTAGTACCAAAATTGTCATCATGGCCAATGTCATCTACTAGTAAAGCACAAAATGAACACCTCCAACGACACATTACGTTGTCAGTTGCAAAGTAACGTGCAGCCGAAGTTATCTCCAAGCGCCGAACTACTCCGAGCGACTTCTCTGCATTACACGTAACTTACTTTGTAAAGCGGCTCAGAAGTATGTCTGATACCAAATGTACATTCTAAATTCCTAATTACATAAGGCGGCCATGCCTTTGTAAAAGTAAGGGACGTTCGGCAGGGAAATGGCAATGACTGCCAGGTGAAGAGTAAGTTGCTAATAAGGTATTATTACGTGCTCCTAATTCCCACTGGGGTATTATTAAGCGCATAAGTGTATGAATACGTATGTATGCATACATATACATATACATATTTGTATAAATATTTCAGAGGACTTATGGCATTGTGAGAAGTCTTTGATTACTGTCAACTGTCCAAGTGCTGTGCTATTTGAAGTAATTCACACATGTACATATACATACGTTAGTATGTATGCGTAGTTAAAATATGTAAGCAAACTGATACATATGTATGTATATTTACAAGCACAAACGCATATGTAGAATATGAATTGAATATGCACTCGCACTCCTCCCTCTCGTATTCGCATTAATCCGCAATCAAAAGGATCTGTATACTAAAATGTTGCTTCAAGTCTAGCACTGACGATTAAGTAAGTACATACATATGTATGCTAAATGAGACAGAATTTATGCTAAGGTTGGACAAATGTCTGCGTGCGTGTGTGCACACAAATTTTCATATACCTATGCACATATGTACATACATATATATTTATGTGACTTCTTTATTCATACAATCGTTTGAACTAAAATCCTTAGCATTTTGCTTGCATATTTCTATACTTATGCTCATACTTTTATACACATTTACATACATGCATATGTATTTTAACTTGCACATGCATATGTATAAATTTATTTGAGCATACGAAAAAGCAAAAGCACGCAGGAATAATGGAGAACAATGTAAAAATTCATAAATCGAAAGGCATAATTTTTTCGTCGCCGTTTTTCATATCCGCCGGAATAATAAATGTACATACATACGTACATATGTACGTATGAGCGAAAGTATAATTGTTCATACACATACTTAGGTACATCTGCATGAGGGAGTGAGAGTTCACCCACTAAACCTCCTACCACTAGTCCTGATATCTCCGCTGATATCCTTTAATAAGCCCAAAAGCCCAAAGGACCGTTTCTGTTTTGATGCCTTCTGCAGCTTGACGAATTTGTAATATTTACTTTGCGAGAAATTCATATTCGTAAGGAATTCACATACATTTATTTATTTATTTTTTTGGACTTACATTTTAAATATAAAAACTAGTACGCATGCACGAATAAGGGCGACTTGAGGTAGTAATTCTTAATTTTTATAATGATAAGTAAAATGTTTTCGAAGCAGCAAGGAGTACACTCGGCAGCTCGGCACTCCCTGCAGTTTGGCGGAATATGTTTGAAAAAACTCTTTTACGGATTATAAGCAGACAAAGCAAGGATAGTGTTAAAAACGTTAACATAAAACATTTAAAATTTTTTAGTGGCATCTATTGTGTTGTAATGGACCAGATTTAATACCATTTGCCACATTTTCCTGCAGGGATATGTGCATCTCAGGGCTTGCATACAAACTTATCATACAAATACAGGCATACGAATTCGAATAACGCTATTAATGTGTGTTGGAAAAAATCCGTGGAAAGCCGCAAAAATTTATTGTATTGTTCTAGAGAAATATTTGCAGAAAAGCTTTTAATGTTGGCCTTGACTTCTCGGCAGCATAACCTAAATTTCGCGCGGTAGACTTGGTGTTCCAAATGTATCCTTAGCAGCTAACTAACCGTGACACGGATATGAAAGCATTGCAGCATTATCAAAAATATGTTCATATGTATGTATGTGTATATGTAACCGCATAAATGGGTATGAACTGAAGAGATTCGTACCATATACCCAGTAGAAATAAGAAGGAGTAGAAAGCAATTACAGGAGGCCTTCTCTGGAATGTAGACAACCTTACCATTTGAATGATTTCCATAATTATTTTTCTATATGAAACGGACCTAATTGCAAGGCATTTCGGTTCCGCTTTTGGGTGAACAGCTCATAGAAGGGCTTATTTTTTAATAACAAAAATTAAAAATCATAAGTTGAGCCTTCCTGAAAGCTAACAAATAATAGCAAACATCTCTGCGCACTCAGCTACAGCCAAAACATGTAAATGTGTTTTTAAATTTTTATTTGAATCAAATTTGTTACAATCGTTCAAACAAACTTATTTTCAAACTTGTGTAGCTCATGTCCGTTTATTTGGGAACACTCTGTTCTGTAATACCTTATCAAAGGAAGGCCTTGACAAAATTTCTTCTGGGTAAGTAATGAAAATGTTTGGGAAATACGTTTAGTATTCATATTTATTATTTATTGGACATAGTAGGGGGTTTCGCCTAAACTCGTAAATGCCTCGTTACCACGTAACCCTCGTAAGCTTAATTAATCTTATATGGAAATTCTGTTTATTTAAAAGGCTTACTCGGTTACGAGGCCTTTACGAGTTTAGACGAAACCCCCTACTATGTAGGGTTTGGCCGAGCTTCTCATCCGATTTGTATCGTCGCACAAAGGGGACCTAAGATTTTCGCCGACTTCGAACGGCGATTGTATTTTTATGAGAAGCTGTTTTCGATGGCAGAAATCAACTCGGAGGTTTGCCATTTGCCTGCCGGGGGCGACCGCTTTTAAGAAAATATCTTTTTTTTCAATTTTTTTTTCTGGCGATGTTGTTTTGACCTGGGCTTGAACCCACGCGCACTGCTTATACTACAGATGAAAACCCATAGTATAAATAAATGTTTTAAATCATATAAACTGGAACATATAGAGCCACATTTGATTTCCTTTTAAAGTACACACGAGTACATTCTACACACACATTTATGTACATCACCTTTCTTTAGTGTTATCTACTGCACACTCGAGTATTAATCCCTATCTCTCTAGCATCTGCCTCCATCACCATCATCCATACCTTCGTTGCAACTCAAAAGCAGAAGCAAAAGGAGGCAAAAAACCAGCAACTTTAAGTTGCCATGTAAGACCTATTCGAGTTTAGTCTTTGCACTGTGGCGCATCCAGTCGTTTGCAGCAAGCGAGATGTCGGCAAATTACTGGCTAACCATTCTGGCTGCAGTATTTTGCACACAGGTGAGCTAGAACATAGAGGAAGCAAATCTTTGCATTTTATAGACTAAAAACTTGTTTACTTCATCCACATACACACACACACAGTTCTTTATATCTACCGGCGTTCAAGCTGCACAGCCCGCCAATCAAGATTTGCAAACTTTTATCGCTCGTGTCGAACGTCTGGTGCTCGATACCACCGATCGCGCGCTGATTATCACCCGAAATGTTTATCTGCACATCAGCAAGGAGATGCCGCCAACGCTGCTGCAAGCTGCCAACGAAACTCTGCAAACCTATATTTGGCAGGTGAATGAAGCATTGAGTGGCGGCGGCACGTCAAATACCAACTTCACCACCAAACGCAAATTGCTGCGACAATTCAAGTTGAACAATCTACAAATTGAAATGCTGCGCCGCCAATTGACTCCGCTGCAACCGGAATTCAAGTTTCAACTGATTTCCGATGAATTTTCCATTTCCCAAAAGAATGTTACCGAATTTGATAATTTGTATTTGCGGTTCATGAGCGAATTTGCGGCTGCTTCCCAACAGCTGTGGGATACACTGTCCGAGCCTACTGTGGAGGAGCAGCAGGAGCTGCTGGAATTGCTGGATGAGATTTCAAAAGAGCAGCAGCTACGCGAGAAGGATAAATTATATGATGAATTTATTGCCATGTTTCTATTTAAAATCGAAGAGAATGAACTGGAGGCTAAGGAGTTGTACTGAAGTTCAATAAACCAACTTAAACAATTTTCAATTCTTTTAAATTTCTGAAATGAAAAGGGAGGAGGGGTTTTATTTCGCTACTAAATATGAATAAGGAGTAATTTGGTTTTTTTTAAAAGCCGTTTTTTTTTGTTGTCGCGTTGAGGAAAACAAGGAATTGCCAAATTGGTTTTTGAAAGTTCCTTCGTTTTTAAGTGTAGATAACAGAAAACAGCCAACCAAATGACTAATAGTCTAGCGCCCCATAAGGATTCCGGCGAGAAGTCAAACGTTTTGTTTTTAAAGCCTCAACAAAGTCTATATCGTCACTACACACGAATGAAGGCGCACTAGTGTTTTGAAGACGAAAAAAGACGCCTAAGGAAAACTTCGGCGAAGAAAGAAGCGTAAACATGGATTTATATCTGGCCAAGGACTGTCACTTCAGCATCATTCCCTAAAACCTATTTGGGGAATTTAGGTACTGTTACACCCGCAAACATAGTCGACCGCGAAAATAAGTTTACGGGTCTTACTTCGCCGTCAAATATTTTAACGCGTCTTTCTACGTCGTCAACTATGTTAAGAGTCTTTCTTCGCTGAAGTTTTTTTATGCGTCGTTTTTTGCGGTCAACTTTTGAGCTCGCGCCTTTATTCGTGTCTAGTGACGATACTCTCCGTTCTTTCTTGGTAGCTACTCTAGTGATCTCTCCAACTTGCTTTGACCCGCCTTCCTTAAACCCGT